TTGTTATAGTGGTCAAAGGTGTGAGAAGGAGATTTTGCATTAATATAAAACCGCGTTATTAACTTTAGTATCAATGCTGTCAGTAAATTGTAGTAATCTCAGATATTCAACATAGATATGCAATAGCTGTCCAACATCGAAGTTCAATATTGAACTTAATTCAGTATTGAATAACTATTGTTCAGATGTCTAAGTTTAGTATTAAGAATGTTAAACTACGATCTGATGTCTCTGTTTAAAATGAGTGTAGACACATAAGCGCACAACTGTCCACTCATTTGACCTTTCACTCATACTAACCGGAGCTAAAACAGTGGTAGGCTTTTCTGAATCAGGATTGGGTGTTACATAACTAAGTCTATTTAAGTGTTTTAGAAAAGCTAAGTGAGGCTTTAAAACCAAACACATTGAGACATACTCCCTCGTGTCCTGTTTTGTTTTGTTTTTAGAGACAAGGTCTTACTCTGTTGTCCAGGCTGGAGTGATGGGATCGGAGCTCATTGCAGTCTTGAACTCAAGTTCCTGGGTTCAAGCGAGCCCACCTCAGCATCCCCAGTAGCTGAGACGAAAGGCATGCATCACACCATGCCCAGCTAATGTTTTCTTCTTTTCTCTTTTTCTTTTTTGGTAACGACGGGGTCTCCCTAGGTTACCCAAGCTTATCTCAAACTCCTGGCCTCAAACAATCCTCCCACTTTGACCTTCTAAAGCACTGGGAATATGGGCATGAGCCACTGCACCCAGTCCCATGTTTTAACTCAAAACAAAAAAAAAAGGATTCTGGTCCTAGACATTTAAAAATACTGATTTTGACAGACCATATCTAGAGAAAATTAAAAGTTGAAGATTGTTTTTATCCCTATAAGTCACGTTGAGATGGAAACTGCTGTTGTTCTAACAGTTTGGGGTCTGGGTAAATTTCCAAACAGAAAACAGCGATGAAATGCCTCCCAAAGACTAAGATGTAAAAATTTCCAGTTGCTTTCATTCAGCTTCTATTAACTGTTCATGTTGGAAAATCTTCATGATAACTACTGTGAGGTGACTATAGAAATGAAATGATACAACAAACATTTTAGTGATGACACACAAGATTTCGGACACATGAGAATTATTTTAGTAATTTTATTTATTTGGATGAACTTGGCTCTTCCTTAGAAACACAAAGTTATAGCTAGCATAAGCAAATAGACAAAAAAGCAAATGAATTAATGACTGATCCTCAAGTAAAGCATTAAGAACAATCTGATTTATTCCTGGAGCAGTTTGAGATTTAAGTCAAGTCCTGTGTATTATTCTGCTCTAACTGGTAGGAACTTGCAAACATAACATTAAGTTGACATTAATAGCTATAATCTTTGTATATATAAAGACTAGCTTTTTTAATAAGCTCTATTTTAAATGGCCTTTTTATTCATTCTTCAATTAGTTAATCATTAGTTCCAAATTCTGGGATATATGCTATAAAGCATGAGAAATATACATAACACTCTATGTGTCCTCGAAAGCTTCCAGTCTAATTGGGAAAACAGACAATGAGCAAATAAATAAGCAAGCATAAAATGCCAAATAATTTTCATGAAGAAAATGAACAGGGTGTAATGGTAAAGGATCATTTTGGAGGAACTAGAGAGGCTACTTCAGATGACTGGGGAAGTCTTTCTGAGAATGCAACATTCAAGCCTAGACCTAAAGCGTGAGAAGGCACAACTAGGTAAAGAAGGCACAACTAGGTAAGAAAAATCTCAGGCAGAAATAACAGTGTGTATAAAGCCCCGAAGAGCACACAAGCTTGGCCAGTGTGAGGAACTGAAAGGAAATCAGAAGGGCTTCAGCACCGTGGGTGTCGGAGAGCAGGGATGATGTAACATGATATGAAAGAAGTAGGGTAAGATCCATGTGACATCCAGGCAGAGGTATATAGTTGGGATTTACCCAGAAAAAAATGGAATAGGTGTCATGATCAAAAGAATCATTACTTTAACTAAATATTCAGTACAGTAATAATTTTAAATTTTCTATTTTAAAACGTGGAAAATCATATTTT